GCATCGCATGTTGCTTTGAACGACGCCGTTTTTCACGCACGATCAGGGGCCTCTTGTCATCATGGCTGTTGCTGATTATAAGAGGTATCTCGCTGAGAATGTTATCAATGAGCGACGCACGGTGAGTGAGGTCTAATATGCTGCAAGCTGGATATCTACTAACAGCTTCGGCGCATACTACAGGTCACCTACCGGTCGTTAGGTAGAGCCCTTCGGGTTCATAGTACCCTGGCCAAGCAGTATGTCTTATACGAATAACACGAAATTATGCATATGGATTATTCTGATTGTTGTCGGAAAGGATGCTCTTCGATTTCCACCGCAACGAAAACAACAAGAAGCAAAACAGCGTCAATGCGACTTACATTATCACGGGGATCCAGAAAGTGCCCGAGACCCCTTCCACAACGAATGGCCTTCAGGACAGCTTCGATGGCATTCCCCAGAGCAGCCCATACATCAGCAGTTCGATGCCGAACCAGGATGTCGCTAGGAATGAGATCGCCATGTCCTCGGTTGTGCTTGTACGAGAGGAAGACTTGGAGGGTACGTGGAATTGCTTCCATTGCGTTGCGCAAAGGGTGGGGTCTGATAATTGAGTGCGCAGATGCCAAGGCGACATTTCAATCAATCTCCTCGATATATGTCTACAGCCTTCAGCCAACAGTGCTTCAGGATCTCAACGTCTTGACAGATGTTGCGGGAGAGATGATCGCCAAGCATGCTCAGGAGGATCCCTTAGAATACGGCAAGACCTGGGGCATGATCCAGGGCAACAATGTCCGGGTAAGAAGTGCGCTTGCATTTCCGTATTCCTATGATACTAATGAGATTGTGACTACAGAGAAGAACCGGCGGTCGCCCTCCCGTACCAGCTCCCGCTCAGGCTCCAGCTCCTCCTAAGGCGACTATTCCAGCTAAGCGTCCTGTTAAGGAAGAAGAAACATCACAACCCAAGAAAGAATCTGAAGACAAGGCCCCGAAGACGGAGACAACGGCCAAACACGAGGAACCTCCAGCGTCTAAGCCAACTGAGAAGACAGCTCCTCCAAAGCAAAAGGGCAGTATTTTCAGCTCTTTTGCAAAGGCCAAGCCGAAGCAGAAAAAGGAAGAATCAGCAATACCGGCCACTTCGGCTGCCGAATCGGTCAGTTCCATCACTTTACCCGAATTTCTTGTATTGAGCGACTGACAATCATGTAGGCCGAACCCAGTGCTGCTGAAGATGGTGAGTACTTACTGTCTTTCTTGACGTTGTACACATACTGATATGTAGCAGTGGTTCTAGACGACGCATCAGACGGGGATGAGGAGCCCGAGGAGCTCTTCCGAGACTCAGGGAAGCCCGCATCCGCCGGTACACGTGAGTCGCGGAAAGAGCGTGAAGAGAGGCTCAGAAAGATGATGGAAGATGATGGTATGTTGCCTCCTTATTGTCGGTAACTCTTCTGACTGGTATCAGACGAAGACGAAGACGAAGAAATGCCCGATGCTGCACCGTCACCGGAAGAGTCTAAACCTATCGACGAGCCGCCGCCGAAACAGGCTGAACTCAAGGAAGAAGTTACGGTGAAGGGCGGTCGTCGCAGAGGCAGACGCCAAGTCATGAAGAAGAAGACAGTCAAGGACGATGAGGGCTATCTTGGTAAGATTGTACATTATTTACTGATTGTGACAACAGCTAACTGGTTGGTGCTTAGTGACTGTTGAGGAACCAAGCTGGGAGTCATTCTCAGAGGACGAGCCAGCACCGCCTCCCAAGAAGAAGCCCGCTGTGAGTGCGCCCAAAGGCAAACCAGCAGGGAAACCGGGACAGGGTAGCATCATGTCCTTCTTCTCGAAGAAGTGAACAGCTCTTAGATAACTGGACGTTTCCGAAACCGCGTCATTTCCGACCCTAATTTCTGCTTCTGGTGCTCATATACCATGTCCAGGGGTTGTGACCGATATGCGCTGGTTGAAAAGTGCACAGCAGTTCCCCAGGAAGTAACTGAAATTAAGCGGCGCAATAGATGGTCCAGCCGTAGCATCTCTGCGCCAGCCCACACTAGACTCACATCCAGTATACCCTTCTTTGGTACGATGCAGTGGACTGCTTGTTACATGTCATCAATATCTGGTCTGCTATTTCTCCTTATCCCAATGCTTATATGTTCCTGCATACAGCGCTGCATCTATAGTATATAGCTTCACTTGTTTTCACTCGACAGGCATAGCATTTTCCACCCACGTAATACGCCCAATTCATGTACTATCAGGTAGAGCTTTGACTATACAAATATCTGTGACGCATTTGCAGCGTTCTTGAGTGTCCCCTCATTCAAATTTATCAATCTTCTTTATAGTCTTGATCGTCATGAACGCGGCCGGCTCTGTAGGCAGAGATGATAGCCAGGAGTGAGTCCATGATTCACTCTATTGTACCAGGGAGACAGAAATTCCAGTTCTGGGCCAAAGTCAATGCTTCGAAGCGTAGTAGGATAGCGTTCATGTTCTGTTTGAGCAAAACCTGTCCTGGGATGTGATCGACAAACTAATGCCAACATCTAATAAGAAAGGATGTCAGGCGACTATCGGAACGACCCTTGAGCCATCGGCTGATCAAGACACCTGAGTCGGCGAATAAGTCGAGCGAAGAAGTAGACATGACAAGGATAGTGACTGTATAAGCCAGATAGCACTGGATGCGAATCGTGACCTGCAATGAGTCGATAAACTGCCTTGAAATATGTGCATTCCGGAGGGTTCAATGGCATCCTGCAGGGCAAGAGTGGGTTGGTATGATGGGTGGGAAATACTGCCGGGAATCCGGGGGATCAGCGAGGAAATCGGCTGTTTGCGATCTTCTTCCCCGCATTCCCCTGCCTTCCCCTGTCATCCCCCAACCCGCCCACTTTAAATCATGCCATTGTTCCCCTTAATTCTTTTTCAATGGTCAATGGCACACTGGTTCGACCTTCCGGCCTTATAATACAAACTCATCATCAGCGACAACCGCTATCCAGCCATCAAGATGCGCTCGTTGTCGCTGGCCGTAACCCTCGCCGCCGGCTTGGGTGCAAGGGGAGCTGCAGCTCGCGATGAGCCTTCCATTCTGCGTCGGGCTTGCCCAGATTACACCTCTTATGCTTCTACTGGACAGTAAGGGATTCTTCCTTTGACATGACCTCTGTATCAGCCTGCTTATACCCATCTTCGCTCTAGTGCCCCATACAGCGGTGGTCCTCTGAATCTGCCCTACCAAAGACCCGCAGCAGAATGTCGGACCTTTGTCTCAGACGCAGTAGAGCAGGTCATCGACGATGTGACCTCGCGCATGGTAGACAAAGACATGGCTCAGCTGTTTCGCAATGCTTTCCCTAACACACTGGACACAACCATTCGCTGGCATGTCAATAGCACGTCCACCACTTCTGCCTCTCGAAAGATGAGACGAGACAGTTCGCAATGGCAAGGAGCTCAGACTTTCGTCGTGACTGGGGACATCAACGCAGAGTGGCTGCGCGACTCGACAAATCAATTGACTGGCTACCAAACACTGGCAAAGAAGGACCCGGCTCTCTACAGTCTCATCCTCGGGGCCATACACACGCAGGCTGAGTTCGTCATTCAATCGCCCTACTGCAACGCGTTCCAGCCCCCTCCACCCAGTGGAATCCAAGCAACAAGCAACGGCCAACAGGATACTGTACATCCAGCATATGAACCCTCTGTTGTTTACGAATGCAAATACGAGCTCGACTCCTTGGCCAACTTCCTCGCTCTGGGCAACGAATTCTACGAAAACACCGGATCCACCGAATTCCTCACTAGCCGGTGGTATCTCGCCCTGGATACTCTCCTGAACGCCACCGACGCCCAGTCCCAGCCAACTTTCAACAGTAACCATCAGTATGTCCAGAACCAGTACACCTTCCAGCGCCAGACAACTCTCGGCACGGAAACCCTCAACCTGGCTGGGATCGGTAATCCGCTCAATTCAGGCACTGGACTTATCCGCAGCGCATTCCGTCCCAGCGATGACGCCACTATCCTGGGCTTCTTCATCCCGGCCAATGCCATGATGTCCGTACAATTGAAGAAAACCGCGGATCTGATCCGCGCAGCTGGCGGCGACTCAACCCTAGCATCCAATCTCCAAACCCGCGGAGAGAACCTCGAGCAAGCAGTCCGCCAACATGGTATTTTCAACCACCCGAACTACGGCGACGTCTACGCCTTCGAAGTAGACGGGTACGGCTCGCGCATCTTCATGGACGACGCGAACATTCCATCCCTCCTAGCCCTACCCTACTTAGGCTTCGTCGATAAATCCGATCAAGTCTACCAAAACACCCGCAAGATGATCCTCGACCCTAACGGAAACCCATACTACCTCACTGGATCGGACTTCCACGGCATCGGTGGACCTCACAGTAAGCAATGCCCGAGCCCTGGCACTTTGTGATCAAGACAGCTAACACAGATGCATTAGTTGGTCTCGAAAACGCCTGGCCAATGTCCCTGCTCGTGCAGGCATTAACAACCGACAACGTAACTGAGATCACCGATTCCCTTAATCTGGTCCGCAATTCCAGTCTCCTGGGCTTAGTCCACGAGTCTATCGATGTCAACAACATCAAATCATACACGAGACCGTGGTTCGCCTGGGCGAACTCTGTCTTTTCCCAGACTATATTGAAAGTCGCGGCTGAACAGCCTGAGGTTCTATTCGGAGATGGAGCGGAGCCGTATGTCATTTCTTAGATGCTTGCTACTCCATCACTTTGATTAGCATAGCGTTGTGCATAGTGCGATGTGCTATACCCGGCCTGTTCATCTATAGGCTATTAAAATAACAGTATCAAGATTCAAGTGTATATGAACATGTTGAAACTTAGTAACCCTTAATTCCACACAATGCAAACTAAGTACTATAGTATGTATTTAATACGCTCCATACAAATCATGCAACCCATTCATACAGTAAAAACCCTCAACACCCCCTCTATAAACTAAATCTACACCAACACCCTCCTCAACCCCTCCGTCCCCCCAAGCACTCTCCTCCCCGTAACTGGACACCTCCCCTTCCCACTCTCCCACTTCCCACGTCTACTCCTCGACTTCTTCATCTCCTCTTCATCACCATCACCATCCACACCACCCTGCTTCCCTTCCTCACCCCCCTCCAAATCATCATCCGCCCACGCCGCGCCCGCACCCTCCCCATTCATGAAATCCAACTGTCGCTGATGCTCCCCATTCAACCAATGGAAGATACACACGTAGCAGAAAACATACCCCGTCTGACACGCCGTAGGGTTCGTAAGCGCATTCAAACAGATCGGGCACGCGGACGCCACATCCGAGTCTGGCGGGGGAAGTGGCACGGTGAAGATGGGTAGGTATGAGGTTGCTGAGATGGGGGGTTGGATGCGTGTGCGTGCTGGCGGGGTTGATTTCATGGCTGATTTGAGGGTTGGGGATGATGGTTGCTGCTGCTGCTGCTGCTTCTGTTTCTCTGCGGCGGCGGCTGCGGCTTTACGCTTCTCCGAGGGAGGGGTCATTCCTGCTGCGACGGGGGCAGGGAGGTCCAGGACTTCGGTTGCTTTGCGGGCGAGTTGGCGCGAGAAGTCACTCGCGTGCCACCATTCGAGGAACTTGAGGGCGAAGATCGACGCCGGGAGGAAGTAGCGGAGGGAGGTGAGGAGTTGGGGGTAGAAGTTCTGCGGGCTGAGGAGGCCCAGGAGGCCGGAGCCGGGGCGGGTGCGGGCGCCTGCGCCGCCGGGACCAGATCCGGGAGTGGGCTTGGGGTCGAGGATGGAGGCGATGGCGCGGTGGTCTGCGGAGCTGAGACGGCGGATTCGGGTGCCGATGAGCCAGAGGAAGGGAGAGGAGTATTTGGTGTTGTCGAAGAGGTAGGCGAGGTTGAAGGCAAGGATGGAGAAGTAGTAAGCGGCGTTGACGGAGGGGTAGATGTTGCGGAGGAACCACTTGTAGTAGTGGAGGAGACGTTGGCGGATTGTTGGGTTTGGAGGGAGGTCGTCGCCTGGGTTGTATCTGGGGCCGCCGCTCATGATTAGGGATGCTTGTGGTGCGGCGTGGATGTCGTAGCCTTCGTCGAGCTTGCGCTTTAGGTAGGGGATTCCGACGAGGACGAGGAGGTTCTTCCAGACGTCGGAGGTGCGGAGCTTGAGGGCTTCGCGGACGGGACCTGGGGCACCGAGTTGGGCGCGAGGTATCTCGCCATTCTTGGTGAGGAGGACTCGTTCGCGTTTGAGCGAGTAGAAGTTCTCTGTGAAGGAGCCGCCGAAGGTGCGGAGGTAGTAGCGTTCGACGACGAGGGAGAGGAGCGCGTAGATCTCGTCGTAGGAGTTGAGAATTCGGAGGAGATATCGTGGATGGCGATGGGTCGCGACGGCGAGGATATATCGGATTGAAGGGGGGAGAAGGTCGGAGAGCTGTTGTTCGGCGAGCAGCTCTGCGATGGGATGCAGGTTAGTCGAGTAGTCGTTGAGATAGTTTGAGGTGTGCGATAAGGCACGTACCGAATAGCGATGGCTTCAGCTCATCGAATTCTTGCTGCAGACTGGGCAGGTATTCCATGTTGGCGACAGCACGCCAGTCATTGGCCCCTAGGTGGAAGAAGCAGTTGGGATGGGGGGGACTGGGTGGAGGATGGAGAGAATGCGGAGGTGCAGCTGCTGCTGCGGTGGACGTCAATCCGATGGCGGCGAGTTGAGCCGAGGCTTATCGGCACCCGTCAGCCAGGTCCGGATCCACCGTCACATTCACATCCAGCTACTGCTACTTTACTGCATAAGAAGAGGGATTTGGGATTGTGTTATTTACTAGTACAGTGTCTACTATTTACAATGACTCGAAGAGGCATCATTTCAGCATCTTCATCTGGCACGCGTTCCAGAATCGGACCAGATTGCTCGTCGATCCTTCCGCGGCCTTTTGCACAATATCTGGATCGGCAAGCAAAAGGCAGCGCTTGATATCTACCAAGAGCTCTCCCTCGAGGGGTATCGGATTTTCTTCTCTCCTCATCATCGGAATCCATGTTGATACGCAGTCCCGGGCACGGAGTTCATCTCCCAGATCAGCATGCAACCGGAACAACATCTTGTAGTCAGCAGCGGTGCGCAGACTTCCATTGAGGGGACCCTTGCGCCACAACTTCCAAAAGCCATTGTAGTCGCCGTGCTGAAAGAGCGATAACATAAGGCTGCGGGCTTGCTCGGGTTCAAAGGGTAGGTCAAGGGTGTCGATTAGACGAGACACCCGATAAAGAGCGCTTTTATTTTCAGCCTGTGCATCATTTGCTCCGTCTGGTACAGTAGTGGACGGGGAACTGGCAACGGCTCGATAAATCATGTCGAACACTCTCATGTTGACAACATTGGTGCCGCGCAGAGATAGATGTTCAAGCACAAGAAGAGCTAATTCCTGGTCTTCTTCCGGAACTCGCCCTGCAACGTCCTCAGGGCTAGTCCCTGCTAGGCGGGGAGATAACAAGGCTGAAACAACTGAAAATGCTAGATCATCAGATACTGAACAACCAGCGCATGTACATTCTGTGAACGCTGAATATAAACCCCGCTTTGTATATCCCGGGTGCTGTCTGGAAATCGCGTTGCAGAATAGGACAAGACGGGCTATTGCTCTCTCTGCCGCCGTGCTGATTGATAACAGATCATGGAATAGGCGCATGAATAGCGTAGAGTCATTATCTTCCGGGCCCTCTCCTAGTTCGATCCTGGCCTGAACGTCGGATAGTTTTGAGAGGTGGTCAAATAGCGCATCCATTGAGTGGGTTGTCTTTCCATTGTCGCTATGGTCATGGTCTCGAAGTAAAGACGAAGGCTGGGAATCCAGAGTTACCTCCGTATCTTCTGTATGGGTTGCTGCACGGTCGAAGTGTTGGCTTGCGGGACGACGGTTGGTGTGAAACAGCCTCTTCTGTCCGAACAAAGGGCTAGTGGGAAACCTGGAGGCATGGCCGAACTCACGGTCAGATGGTGATACGTTTATCGAATTGGAAGCACGAACCTCTTCGGAAGGTGCGGCTGAATTAACCTGGGAAATCCTTTGTTTTTCTCTTTCGGATCGGTCCAGCGCCTTCTGCCAAAGGCTTTCAAGATCGACTTCGGCTCTCTTTCCTTCTGTGAACATCTGCACAACAACCCTAGTGCCGGTGGCAGTGTGGCCAAACCCTTCAAATCTATAATCCTCATCCTTCTTGACTGGCGTTTCCTCTACCACACCGGCATTGACACAGATCCAGCCTGTCGTGATCCCATCGTCCTTTTCGTCAAACATAGTACCGGACCTGCTGGCGAGCCTAGCACGCCGAGCCTTTCTCCGGAGCTTGATCTTCAACTCATTTCGACCCAGGAGTCCATCAGCGTAGGGAGACAGCTTGTAGGTACTTCTCAACCAGCGGCAAAGACGATCTGCGGACACATTCAAGTGCTTGACACTGCGAGCAGTTCCAATTATCATGATCACGTTGGCCCCAAGAGCTGGCGGAGTTTCCAATCCGCGCAAATCAATCAACTTCAGTTCATCAAGACCAACATCCTTGAACATATAGTCGAGAAGTGCAGGGAGGATAGCTGGAGGATTCTCTGGCAATTCGGGAATCTGATCTCGCGAAGTTGTCTGCCTTGATTCGGGCACAGGTGCTTCTTCCTGTAGATACCATGGGATGTGAGGGGTGCTCTCCGACGCGGAGTTTGCTGTCGGTTCTTCTTTCAGCTCAGATGCCGGTGACACTGCAGGGGACGAGGATGAAGGCTGCTCAGAACATAGGCAAGATACTGAAGCAAAAGCTCGATTTACTGGGTGAATGGTCGAACGGTATAACGCGGCGCGAGAGACGGAAGGAGGCGCGCGAAGTGCTGTCCTGGAGGACCAGGCAGCTCTCAACAATGCCCTGTTCATGATGGTCAATATTGCAGCAGTAATGGTACCAAACGAGAGCTCGACAGCTTTCTTCGCAGTGGCGACATGCAGCGCAATTGGGGAAGCTGCTAAGAGCAAACAAGACAAACGGTGACTAAGGATGGAGTCAGCAAGCAAACAGAGCAAACAAAAAGTTCTCGCGGCGGGGCAAATATTGATCCTCATGACAAATCTAAATTTCGCTTCATCATTCAGCGAGCAGGAGTCGCCGGCTCTTCTATCTTCCCTATCTTTACCCTCTTGTTTATCTGGTGTCAGGCCTCATCCCTGCTTCCAACATGTCGATGGACCTGGATGCGCCGGTGCCTTTCGAGGCCCCGCAGGAACAGATCGCTGCGACGTGAGTTACCCCGCAAATTGAAAGAAAAATTTCCCTGTAAACATACATGAGGGCAATATTTTTCGGGGACCTTAACTAATAACCTCGCTTTTTAGTATCCTTTGTTGCAACTGTGGCGCGCCTATCGATGGAACAACATCCGCTGGTGCCCTTTGTCAGGACTGTGTGAAGTTGACGGTTGATATCTCCCAAGGCATCCAGAGAGAGGCAGTTCTTCACTGCTGCAAGGACTGCGAGCGGTGGCTCCAGCCCCCCACCAGCTGGGTTAGTGCTGCGCTCGAATCGAAGGAACTTCTCGCACACTGCTTGCGCAAGCTCCGCGGCTTGTCCAAGGTCCGCATTATCGATGCCAGCTTTATCTGGACCGAACCCCACTCGAAACGTATCAAGGTCAAGATCACCATTCAGCAGGAGGCATTCCAGGGCACCATTGTGCAGCAGACTTTCGAGGTTGAATACGTTGTCGCCTCGCTACAATGCCCTGACTGCAAGAAGTCGTTCACTGTCAACACTTGGAACTCCAGCATCCAGCTGCGCCAGAAGGTGCCTCACAAGCGAACCTTCTTGTACCTTGAGCAGATCATCCTCAAGCACAACGCTCACCGCGATACAATCAACATCAAGGAGGCCAAGGATGGTTTGGATTTCTACTTTGCGCAGAGGAATCATGCGGAGAAGATGGTCGAGTTCCTTTCCTCCGTCGTCCCCACCAAGGTCAAGAAGTCGCAGGAGCTGATCTCCATGGATATCCACACCTCCACGAAGTCATACAAGTTCACCTTCTCTATCGAGTTGATCCCTATCTGCAAAGATGATCTGGTTGCGCTGCCCATCAAGCTTGCCAGATCGCTGGGCAACATCTCGCCCCTGGCCCTCTGCTACCGCGTCGGTACCTCTGTCAACCTTCTCGACCCTAACACCCTCCAGACCGCCGATGTCCCGACAAACACCTACTGGAGATCGCCCTTCAGGAGTCTTGCCGATGTGACGGAGCTGACCGAGTTTATCATTATGGACATTGAACTGGTTGGACGGTCGAACGGACGGTACTACCTGGCCGAGGCAACCGTTGCCCGTGCTTCGGACCTTGGCTCGAACGATCAAACCTACTTCACCCGCACTCACCTGGGTGGTGTCCTTCACGTCGGTGACTCTGTCCTTGGTTACCACCTGACTGGTACCAACTTCAACGACCCCAACTTTGAGGCGATCGAGGCCAGTGGCCAGTACAGCTCCGCTATTCCCGATGTTGTGCTCGTGAAGAAATTCTACGCCCGCAAGAAGAAGAACAAGAACCGCAACTGGCGTCTTAAGCGCATGGCTCTTGAGTACGAGGAGGAGGCGGCGCAGCAAGCGGCTGGCACCCTCAACCGTAAGCAGGAAGCCGAGCGTAACCGCCTTGAAGAGGACTTCGAGATGTTCTTGCGCGATGTCGAAGAAGATCAGGAACTGCGTGGCACTCTTGATTTGTACAAGGCACGGAGAAGTGCCCCTGTGGAACAGGGTGGCATGGATATGGACGAGGATAGCGATGACGAGGAGGTGCCCAAGATCAACATGGATGAGCTGCTTGATGACTTTGACGAGTTGAACATGGACGATGACCATTAAGTTCCACGGGACTTTCTTAATCACGACTGCACATAGGGGTTTCTGGCGTTTTCATGGCTATTCTGATATCGTTATGGTTAACAATATCCGGTCTGATACACAAAAAGTTATCATAGATGAAGTGAATGATTAGACATTGATTAGGATTGGTGAAGTCTGGCTTGTATTCCTCAACTGAAGTATAGCTGCACGTCGGACATGATCATCGTGAATATAGTAGCTGGCATTAACTGCAGGTGTTGAATAGATCATGTTCGGATGCTCTACTATATAAACTCAGATTCTGCAGGCCTCATCTTTTTCCTTCCACGCAACATGATCATATCCTAGATCTACACTCCACTCGCGAACCCTAACACTAATCAAAGGGAGAGCCAATCCAACCCAGAAACTTATATAGGCTTTCATCCCACCATTCAATCTATGAATACAACAATGCCCTAATCGCTTGGTCCCATGAGAAGGTTCAGAGATGGCATGATGCAGTAATCCTAGGTAGAAGAACACCGAAGCATCAGAAAAGCTGGTTCTCCTCAAACTGCTGGTACAAAGAGTACATTTAAAGCACTATTCGTTCGTCCTAGAGCCCCGTGGGTATGAAAGTAAAAAATGGGCCCGAACACCACTAAATTGTGGCTTAAGTAGACTTTTGCCCATAGGATGGAACTGAGCAAGATGCTTGATTATGGAGGCTCTCAGTATCACTGAACGGGAGGACACTTCTACAGCAGATGACACAAGAGTGGACGAAGAGGTCACTAGTACCGCAGAGCAGTAATACTCTGCCAGCATTCAAAATAGAAGCCGGAGGGCGATTAGGTTTTACTACAAACAGGTGACCTGCGTCTTCCAAGACGAAAACTATCATATGATACATTGAACAGCAGCAATGATAGGGAAACGCGAACATGCATACCTTATTATCACTATGCACATGATGAAATCTTTTTCGTGTGTACAATATAAAGAGCCAGGATATAGGTAGAAACCACTGATTAAGACAATGATGTCTTCTTCTCGATATGCACTGCATGCGAAACAGGAATAACTCCCTTCAGCAAGCCGACTTTTTAGCCCATTGCCTCATGCACATCAGAACTACGCTACTGCGGCATGAATTACACCACTAATAAGCTATGTACTCTAGCACTGGCGCACTGGGTTCCTCGTCAGAATCAGACTGATACGCCTGAAGCGATGACGATGGTATGCTAGGTAGGGCATAAACTACCTCGAAACTGATGAGCTGAAGCCCCTGGCTCCTCTTTTCGACCTAAAGTCCTCTTTGTCATGGCCTGGTGGGTGGTTTTCTCTTTATCATATCACTACTATGGGAACCATTATCAGGATGTCACTTACATGCATGGCTGCGAATTGACGCAGGCTTTTGCTAACAGCAACGCCATTTTACAATGCTGCCCATTATCTACGGATTTAGAATGTCTCCGGAACTGCTGAGTTTTAGTCCTGTGCCGACGATGTTCCAGACTGTCAGCGAGAAATCGACATTATCTTTCTATTTGATGCAAGTCCCGGTAGCTTGGTCGATTAACTCGAGGGTCCATATAGTCATTGTATATTCATGACATAAACGACGCGACCCATCCCGGACGTTTGTCCAAGAACTGGAGTCGTTTGCTCCGTGCTGGAGCAAAACGGTTCTATTTCTATGCAAACGAAGAAGAAATCGAAGTCAAAGCAGATGGTAGTTCAATTTGTTTACTAAGAAGGACTTGCGCCGCTAGAACTTACAATGTCCGGTATGTGGTCAGAGTGTTCGCAACACTCACAAGCTGTATGGTCAATTGCAACCAATCAAGAGTCCTTCCCGACCCTTCCACACAATCGCACTGGATTTCGTTGTCAGCCTACCTGAAAGTGACGGATACAACACAGTCCTCACGGCTATTGATAAGCTGTCGCGTGCAGTTCGACTAATCACTGGACGAGAAGACTGGATCACACCCAGTGGGCAAATGCTTTCTGGAACAGCGTTGTCTGCGATGTATGGACTCGTCCTGTTCTTAAGGCCATCCAAGGAGCGGCCAATATGCAACGGAAGATCAATAACCTTTCTACACACTTGGCGGCTTTCACAGATGAACTCAACCCGTTCTTGATTGCCGAGGCCACCGTAAAGGAAGCAATGGCCCTCCATCCAAATGACAAAGCGGGCAAAAAGGTAGTGGAGAACACCCTGCGCGCTACAAAACAAGCTTAAATACGTCTTCACTACCATCCGTTGAGGCTAATCTGCATACTCAATGACATCCTATTTATGACGCCACTATCGTTGAGGACAACGACTACGCACGAGCGGGACCTGCAACGTGCCTTCCATATCGGAAGCAGCAAGCAGCCGTCGGACACCTCCTTTTAGCAAGCATATTATGTAATTAGGAAGCATCAGACACAGAGCATCGTTGGCAATACTCACCTGTCTATAGTGGACGCTGCGTCAATGCTTTGCCAGTCGCCCATCTATCTGGATTCGTGGAAATACACTGGCTTGTCAGACACCACGTCCAATATTCTTCAATATCAGATTTTAGGTTTCCTCGTTGACAATCCTCTGCAGCACCTTATGAGCACGCGCAATCGGCTAATCGGAAAATATGGAGACGAGGACTCCCACGATACATCTAACATCGAATGTGTCACAGATGAGCTTCAGGATTCCAGGCCAGGTTTGTACAAGGAAGTTGAAACTGTCAAGAGACTGGGACATCTTCTGCCACAGGAGCTCGATAACATTACTTTAATATACTCTGAAACCGCTCATGACATCTTGTGGAACACAATAGACTACTTCGCCTACACAGTTATACCTACTCCTGGCAGGGATAATCCAGGATTTCATCCTATACACTGGCTTGCGTTATTAGACATTGTTGATCTACCGCATCAGCACGATCATTGCGGCAAAACAGAAGCACGAGAAAGTAATATGTGCACTCTTTACGACGTCCACTTTATTGCCCTGCTAACTGCAATTTCTGTGAGAAGAGATACTCGACTCAAGGCGAATTCTCGTCTATGGTATAGAAATAACCCTGCTTGAAACTTCATTCCTATTAGACAAGGGCTAATACAGCATTTGCCCGAGAATTCCGATCTCATATCAACTCTATCGAATCATAAGTCTTCAGACAATGCCAGGAACCCCGAATCATTTGGCTATTTATCTCTGGCTGATTGCTGCTCTAGACAACAGCCCACTGAGTACCGATTCGATGCGTGTCTAAAATTTAGCTAGTGGACACCAGTTCTTCGGTCAAGCCCAGATGTCCTCGTATCAAACTCTAATCGCATAGAGGCCTTAGAAATCCTCGAAAATCCTCCAGTAAACAGGATGGCTCAATGCAGTGCGACAAGAAGATCCCTGTCCAAATAGGCACTAATCTCAGTGTTGCATATGACGACGAGCCCGCCCAGCTGAACCTTGGAAAGGGCACACTTGGCTTGCTTCCTTCATTGGGTTAAGCAAGAGAACCTGCTGACGAACGAAGGTGTCTTCTATGATAGAAACATCGGTGAGCAGGACAAGGACAGTTGTATGGGCGTTGAAAGGAGTACTAGTGGAGATGTGCTGTCCTAGTCAAATCAATCAAACCCCTGGGAGTAAGTTGGTAGTTGCCTCAAAATGCTAGATTTAGTTGATGGTGCAGCCCATGGTCAGGTGTCGCCAGCGGAACTAGATAACGCACTCGTATCCCAGAAGAGCAGTATCGTTGCAGAAACATTACTTCAAGACTTGCAAGAAATGTCGACTCTTATCAGTGACCCGCATGTCACACCCCTTGGACTTCGAATTCTCTTTTTCATGATTGAGGCAAAATCTGCTGCAACCGGAGGAAACCTATACCAAGCACAAAATCAAGCTGCAGTCAGCGGTTCGGCAGCACTTGAGATATTTGAAGCCCTTTCTTATCTATAAGACCCGCAAGAAGAATATAAGGGGTTCACTGAGAATACTACTGGGCTAGTCCAAGAGTCTGGATATACTCCCTGCCTTGTGCTCCAGCACTCTGGATAAAGCACCTGATAGTACCATCTGGTTCATAAATACAACTCGAACAAGATGTAGCTGTACATAATCAAAACCTACCCAGCCCCCCCTGGCTGTTATCCCCTCGAAGTCCTTCTATTACTCACTGGGCTTTACAGCATGGCCGTACATGTTTCAAAACTCTGAACAATCAAGATCAAAAACTGGGGTTTAGCGATTGGATCACGCGTGATAGGCCGCCAATCGCATGCGAAGCGGAAGCATGAGTGGACAAGCATCCTCAGAAACCTATCGAGACTTTACAGAAATTAGTATTCTGTTCTTTGCGGATCCAACATTCCTTACAACCTGAGTGGTTGTTTTGATTTGTTGAGTTCTGATGAGGCACATTATTTATTGGACAGAAGCTCTGGGACTTTACTATCAGTATAGTGGTTGTTGGTCTTCTTTAATCTGCTTATGACAGCAACACCTTCTTTCATTACTCGGAATACATATTCTAATGGCTATCTTGACTATACTCTATGACACCTTGGACGCTTCCCACCTGAGTCCCGATCAGCTGGCGTCTCACAGAAATCACCTGGTCTCAATCGAATCCTTTCAAAAGCACATTCTTTCTCAGTTGATCTATGACACGATCATTGCTACCCAAATGAGATCACGGCTCAAGTGATTGATGGCGCAGCATGCTTCGGCTATCTTGACCACAAGAGAGTATCCAAAGACGTTGCTTCCATACACGCATGTGGCTGTGACAACGTTTCGCAAAGCCCACGATATGCCAAAGGACAGGAACACGGACACCCCCACAAAGGCAAGAAACCGTGGTCGGCAGCATGCAGACGCGCCCTCGCCCCCAGAACCCAAACATCGCCGCAAGTCCACACCCGAACCCACACTAGATAAACCAGACATAACAGACCATGATGTCAAAAAGAACAAGATCTCCTGCTTTATATACACACCGGCCCATGTAAGAACAGATTAGCGTGTATGCATGCAGAACCAATTATGGGATAATAAGCCAGTTACTCCACGAATGCCCAAAGAAACAGAAATAAAGAATAACTTATCAATCCAGGTTAGCTGGACTTTGCGGACGCTACTGGTATCGGGAGGGTAAGCTAGGGTTGTAGGCAGGGTATCTTTATGCTTTGACATGGTCATGAGGAGCAATCTCAATCTAAGGTATAAAGAAAAGAAGACCAGGTGGAAACCCTCCTCCTTCTGTATAGGCAGCCAAGGAGCAAAGATCTATATCTAGTCTGAAGAAGCCTTCCACAGGATCACTGATACCTTCGATGACGAGACCTGCCTAACTTATTTACTTCGAGGTAGTCCCAAGTTGCGGGCCCTGTTAAGTAATTTGCAGCAGGAGGTTTTTGAGTTGAACGAGAAGTCAATCGTGTGGTGTACGGGACCTTCTCAGCAGATGTACATGGCTGCCGCCCTACACCACGCCCATATTGACTGCCAGGTGTACCACTCGGAGCTCACTGTCAAAGAACGGATGGAGTTAGTTAATACTTTTACCACCAAACCAGACGAATGCATGGTGTTAATATGCAGTTATTACGTCAATTCTGCTGGTCCGAATCTTCAACACTAGCCTAGTATACACCACCATATCCATAGACCAATAAACAAGACAATAGGGATATCTATTAACCAAGAAAAAGAAAGCCTAGACTACATAAACGAGAATAGAGTAGATCAGAAAATCTTCCCCAACACCCTCTTCGTATCATCTCCCAACTTCCCCGGATCCTCCACACTCTTATCCCTCCCCAACTTAACCTCATTCTGCTTAAACACCATCCTAACATCCTTCGCACTATCCTTCTTCTTCTTCCCCTTCTCCTCATTCTTCTTCTGAATCCCCTCGATAACCTTGCCCTTCTCATACCCCTCCAAGAACACCTTATCCTCCTTCCGAGCCCTCGAATCCTCCACCCTCTTCCTCGCCTCCCTCTCCGACCTCTCCCTCTGCACCTGTTCCATCAGATCCGCCCACCGGAACCCCTTCAAATACTTCATATTCCACACATCATCATGATACCACCCGCCCTTCTTACCCCCGATAATCGTCGCATTCAGCGTCTCCGCACAAATCTTCGCCGTCTTTTTCGACGCAAACTCAACCCATCCATCGGAGTACGTCTTCCGCTTATTGGATCTCCGACGAGGCGCACTAGCAGGGCGGACTTCAGGCGATAAGAACACCCTCGTAATAGGCCCGAACGACCGGGTCTCGAGGAGATTCTTGAGCGCAAACGGTTTCAGGTACGGAGGCAGAGAGGAGAAGTAAATCACCCCCGTTTTGTTCTTCTTCGGCGCCTTCTTGGCTTTGTCGAGAGGTTTCTTGCTTGTTGATTTCTTGGACGAGGATTCTTCTGTTGTTTCCGTTCTGGCGTCCAGGTAGTGGTCTTCGTCGTTATCACTCATCTCCTCCTCCTCATGATCGTCTTCATCCTCCGATCCAGCAGCAGCAGCCTGTTTCTTGCTCTTCTTGCTCCTCCCCTTCATAACCACCCTCTCATTCTCACTATCTCCCAACCCAACCCCATTATCCGAATCCTCATCCTCCGAATCATCGTTCAAGCCGTGTAGATCGCTCGTCGACTGCACTGTTGGTTGCGTGCGCCTCCGCTTCACGGCCCGGCCTTTGCTCTTTTCTTGCTCCGCCGCTTCGGAGTCGTAACCGCGGTCGTCGTGGCCGGATTCGTCGTCGCTTTCGACGATGTCGAGGAAGTCGTTGCGCTTGCGGGTGGTCATTATGCTAGATATATTCGTGTATCTTGTATATTGTGTATGTGAGGGGGAAAAAACTGAGAAAACCAGAAGTATTGGAAATTGGAGATGATTGCAGAGAAGTTGATCGAACGGGAACTTTTTTTGGGTGGTCTGTGCGCCGCGGTGGGTGGCCAATCGGAGGGGTGGATTTTCGGACTTCCTTTCACCTCCAGCATCTAGATACTTCGATGTGTGGAGGGGAGTGGTAGGTCGCAGATTGACTATTTGGAGTCTTGAAATGTACGAGGGTGATAGGTACAGAGGAAGTGGGGGGGGGGGGGGGGGGATGCTGAGTTTTGACGAGAGTGGAGGGGGAGGAGGGGAAGAGGCGCAGGACCTAAAGGGAGGAGGAGGTCCAAAGAGGCTTGGCCGGAAAAGATTCGACGGAAGAGGGGCAACCCCCAATTGTTGTTGTTGTTTTGGGAATGGTTCCAAGTTAAGGTCCCGAAGAATGAGAGGTGTACCCGGGAGAGGAGGAATCGAGGAAAATGGAAAAGAAAGAGGGAGAGAGGAAAAGTGAGAGAGAGAGAGAGAGAGAGAGCAGAGGATGGGAAGGATTCCAAGAAGTACAGAAAGAAATACTAGAAGGATGATGAGGGGATGGTATGGAGAGGGTAAAAGGGAAAATTAAAATGAGGAAGAATAAAATAAAATAGAAAATTAACTAAAAAGAAAAGAAAGGGCGAAAAAAAGGATGACTAGGATAGAGGGATGATAGATAATGAAGTAGCGGAGACGATGATCCCTGCTGGAGACCAACAACCGCGGTTTAGTTACAAGAGGTAAGTAGTAGTAAGAGGAAATCAATCAGTGGATGGGCTAGATCGGAACCAATGAATTACTAGAATCAATCTAACCGGACGAGACACAATTGGAGTTGGGATTGAAACGAAAAGATCGTAAGGTGATGATGGGAGAGAGAAAGCAGAGGCAACAATGATACAGTGTAGGCGAGATGGATGGAGTGAGAAGGGAGGAAGTTGCAGTAGGAGGAGGGGGGGTGGAAGTAAGTCAGGTAAAGTAAAGTCAAGTACACCGACCGAAGGAGGGGATAGGAAAGGTCACAGGATGACAGTTCTAAGGCAGGAGGCAGTCAAATCCGTCAGGTCATTAAGTTGAGTGAATGAGTGAGTGGCCAAATCAACTACCATACTACTGAAGGTAAGTAAGAAGGTAGCAATCTGGAGCTGGACAATGCTGCAACCCAAGACCCACGGGGGGTTGTGGAAACAAGTGGGAGGGTACGGTATGATACGGTCATTTTGCCTTGTATGGAAGTCTCCCGGTGGGTATCCGCTACTTTCAGGTAACAACAACCCCTCCTCTTCTCTCTCTTTCTCTCTTTCTTTTTTTTTTTTTTTTATTTATTTTCACTCTATCTCTCTTTCTCTCTCTTCTGTTCTCGTTCTGACTTAGATTCGAAGATTCTCATATAGATTACACTCTACCAAGTAAATTAGGGAATTGCAGGAGTTGACCGAACCTTCGCTGTTCTGATCATGCTGTTGTTACCGACCACGCACACTGGGAACGAACCAGTTTGAACCCGACAACCCATACAGTCAATCGAGATCAACCTAGAATCTAGACCATACTGTCTGACATGGGTATATTTTTGGGAAGGTATCTTTAGAATTGCATAGAAACGAACTACCTATTGCACTTGTCTATCTACAGAACCTTCCAAACGAACGACCAGCTTAGAGCTTGCTGCCTGCGACGCCTCGTGCTTTACATCATAAATCGGTCCCTGTCCCACCTGGATTGTTTTGTCCGCTGCTTACAGGACAAGGAGTTGCATTCAATTTGAGGTTCAGTCTTGAGATGGTTTCGGGTAGACACGATGTGGGTGCATGGAAACACTAAGTTCAAGGCTGGCTCCCCACAACAGACATAAGTCAGAACGGGCATAGTAAGTGGTAACAAATGGTATTCGCCCCGATTGCAGATTTGCAGATTGGATCAGGAGTCAGGAACAAGTTCCTTAGCTTTGAGTGTCCCTATGACGGAGGCACTAAGGAACAATTATTCGCCTGGCGCAAAGAGAAATCCAATGCGCATGTGTGCCAACAATTAACCCGCGATGGATGAAAGGCAAACCATACCACACTTGCTCATGCCGTGCCCAGGCGAGTAAAGCTAGATAATTGCTGGTGAACAAGAACCTTTTGCGCCACCAGGTAACTGCCCGAAGTTCTACCAAGGGACCAGAAAGGCAGTGCTCGATATGACGCCTTATGGAGCAAGCTACTCGTCTGTATGGACTAAAGTAGGTCCATGAGGACCCATCCATCCCGTGTAGCAGGAGGATTTTCACGGTTGACGATGCCCTAAGAGTCGCAAGTTCCACTCAAGTGCGACGGGGAGAAGGAAAGAACATTCCGCGCCCCCCTCTCTCCCCTGGGGAACCGGACTAAAACCAATCATCCTGATTATCGGGATTTTGTAAAAGTGTAACAAATTCGCCCAAGAGCCATTGTACTTGGGCTGCGAAGCGTCGTTGTTTGTCAAGCAGAAGTGCGTCGGAAACCTCAACGACCTCGGACAATGCTAGTGAGTTACGAGTATTCTATTAGTCATTATTTGCACACTATTGGGGAGTTAACCTTGATGTTCACCAGTAACAGATTCGTGGATATAGGTGCCCCCCAACATCGTAGAAGACTAGTAGCGTTCTCGAACAACGAAAAGGGGCTAGCTAAGTAGAACACAAGTCTCCATCGCCGCGGTATATGACGTTTGACAAATCGGCTTCCGGTCAGTCTTAGTTTGAGGATGGGAAATCCCTGGAGGCACCCTGGTGGGGAGGGGAAGGTATTGTCCTTTCCCCCTATTGCATCTGCAGCATAGGGAGATTTATCGGAAGCAAAAGGTCACCATTCATGAGCTAAAATGTTAGCCCCGTGAGACACACTAAATAGGTTAGGAGAGATCAACTGTTCGAGGTAGCACAGTATTGCATGTACCGTTGACCTTGAAAGAGACCTAATTGACTAGTAACACAGGGCTCTCCAACCTCGAAGACGATGTGAAATACTATACTTCGTAGTTAGTTAACTAACTAATAGCATATTCTGAACTTTGCTGGCTATCTGTTGGGTAATACTCGACTATTGTTGGAGGTAAGTGTACAGATCAAGTATCGGGCCGGTCCATAGCGCGAGAGTTGGACCTCCGGCCCTTCCTTTGAGCTAGAGCTTACTGCCTACAGCGACGCACTCAGAGTCAGTCCTCGAATCACTTCCATCCCATTGAGATTGTGCGGAGCGAGCAAGATCGAAAGAAAAACTTCCTCCGGTTGACCGGACTGAGAGCAGACAAACTCTTACCAAGCCACATTATAGGCGCGATCTTTTGAAGAAGAACCTACCGGCCTGCTCTTGATTCATCCTTCCTATTCGCTTGCTTGATTCTCCCATTAGTTACCTGTTCTGGTTTACCGCGAATGTGACCGGGTTTGGTTTTTTCGGCTACGGGAGGACAAACTGTAAATTCAACAAGAGAATAATGAATCCCCCTGGGATAAGCACACAAAACACACAAACACTACCACAACTAGGCATTAATGTCTCGTCGCAAGCAGAATCCCGCTTACTGTGTGCTATCTATCCGTTAAGCACCTTCCTTCTCGGGGGGTTCCAACCGTTGGTTGACATGTAGATTAATATGAATTAATCAACAACGAATCCACCAGGAACGCGAACCCATCGTGATGTGGCCTATCCCCTGGGACTTTGAAGCTATCCATCATTTTAAATAGCATCGCGAGTAATATCCCGGCCCCATTTCCTTCCACGTGGGTGGCTAAAGTAGCTCTCGGGGATTACTCAACTACTACTAAGTAGTAACTTACTGCTATCTAGTACTGTGTGGTTGATATCTAGTGGACGGCGGTCCGTGGTCCAGAATCCATCCTCCTCGGGGAAGTAAATCTGTCGGTCTTTTCATTCCCACTGAATCGCCGGGCCTGGTCATCTTCATGATAGGTAATCTGGAAGAAAATTCTGACACCGACGGGATGCCCGCTCCCTTCATTGGTGTGTCTGTGAGTCGTAGCCGACGCTACCGGCTTAGTCTTCGTCCCATCACAATCAAAGCTGACTCGCATGTCTTTCAACGGTGGATGGACCGCCGGCTAGTCCGGAACAGGTCAGATTCAGGTTTCCGTACCTGCTCCAGTCAAGAAAGCTATGAGTAATGGATAAGTCTTTTGGTTAAAGCTTTTTTTGATTTTATTTTTCTTCATCCTAATTATTATAACTTCCTCGATATGAAACGCTTAATAACTCTCAACAACAGTGGTATTGTGTAGAAAAACCAGTCGAGAATCCTTACAGTAGGAGCGGCAACACCATACATACTTAATGCTTAGTATAACCGCCAGTGCGTTTTACTTCCCTTTTCCCCTCTTCATCGGCCACCCTAGAACTACCGGCTGCATGACTTGCATGCACCCCATGAAGGACCTGCATCTATGTAGATAACTATCTTCGACCTCCACCCATCATGCATGACTTCTGGACCAACGCATGCAGCTTGCTGCTTGGGGATTATAATGGCCCTGGTTGCTAGAGAAACAGTGCAAAATCTGCGGCCAAGCATGCGAACGCATCAGGGGGGACAGCAGCGTAAGAAGCAGAGAGGGGAGAAGGGGAAACAAAGAAAAAAAAAAAAAAAAAAAAAAAAAAAAAGGACGTCCCATTTGCCTGGGTCACTAATTACCGGCTAGTGACTAGTATCGACTATTTACTAGGTAACCTGCCCACTTTGCACATGGCTTTGGATCCCCGTGCATCCTGACAGCTTCCACTTCCTAGTTTTTACCAACAGCTAACCTTGGTCGTTTCCTTCCCATTCCTCTCAACGTCAACGCCAGGTGTACTCTTCTACTGTCCGGATTTCCTCAAGAAACCATACTTATGTCCGGTGTCTCATTCATTCCCACTAAAAGAGCCCCCCCTATCCGTTGCCTCTGCATGGGTGAAGCAGAATCCGCCACATATCCTGCTTCTCCATACAAGCGAGTAATATAGTTCGAACCCCCTGAAAGAACCTCCGAAGAGAAAGGAAATTGTCGCGAATATCTAGTTCCTTCTAGACGCATTCTGGGTTGCTTCCTTCCCACCCACTTCTTTTTACGATAATATCGTGCCGAGCCCACCTTTGCCCCCTCACTCCTCAATTTTTATCCCATCCATTGTCTTGCATGCCGTCCACTAAGACAGAGCATAGCAGTCTCCGACCAGATGAAACCGATCTTCGAGTCCATCCTGACCGATCTTCGAAAAAAGCCTCGTGCCTGACAATCCTGTCCAGACCCGGATTGGGCATCTTGGCCGACGGCTTTTTGCCAAGGCAGTCTAGGAAGTAGACCACTGCTCTAGTCGGGCATCGTGCCTCGGGAGATGCGGATTAGTCTGCGAGGTCTTCTCTGCGTTAGACACGTCCCCCCGGCTTCAATTGCCTCTCCTCGTTAGATGGTCCCTCATCTGCCCCCTCGACTGCCCTGACTAGTAAAGTCTAATTACGGTCTTGAAGTCTAATACGCCGGCCAGTAGTTACATGATGACTGCATAACTACTTCCTTTCATTCATACTAAGTGACCAGTGTTCTTTAGTCTAACGGTCGCCTGTTTTGACAAAGTGATTGTTGCGTAACGCAATGCATGAGAAGCGTGGTCGTGGATTTTGTCCTTCACTTCTCCTTAAGCTAAGGAAAGAACGAGCAAAAACCGGAACCAGGACATGCTCTGTACGCGCAACAATCCCTTTCAATCTACATTTCTCGAAGCAACGCAGGGTTGGTAATATTTAAACCCATGTGATGCCGAACAGCGAGGCCCGATATCCGTGCAAATCTATCCACGCGCCACTGGTGATCATTACTATCCACTACGCCTCGAAGGGCAGGATGTCCGGGAATGGACCAGCCGGGATGATCGTCTGAGTACTGCCCGACCGCTTTCCAAGCGCCTTCAGATAGTTGAACTTGTACTGCTCAAGACTGTTAGCGATTGCCACCTTCCGACTATCACGGTTCACTTACTATGCCAAAGAAAGTGGTCTTCTTGAATGCTCCGCCTCGGGTACGCTGCGTTTCATCATGGTACAGTCGTCTATACCAACGGTCGAGGAGCGGATAATCATGTCGGATCATTTTCAGGTTGCAGCGGAAGATCAGGTAGTAGGCTACATCGAACCGACAAATGGTCGTGTACAGTCGGATGTCCGCCTCCGTGATATTCTCCCCAAACAGGTATGGTTGATGGCCTGGCTGTGCCAGATGCTGCTCAACGCGGTCCAGGGCCTCGAACAGTGGATACACATTCGCGTCATAAGCCTCCTGCGTTGTGGCGAACCCGGTTTTGTACACTCCATTGTTAATCTTGTGATACACCCACTCATTCATTGCGTCAATCTCTGACCTCAGATGTGCCGGGTAGAATCCCCCGCCAGGCCGGTTGGCCTCACGCAGCTCCTCCGGCAGAAGATGGTCGAACTCTGTGTAAAGCATCCTGATGATCTCGCCACTCTCGTTGTTCACGATCGTTTCCTTCCTCTTATCCCAGAGCATCGGAACGGTATAGCGTCCTTGATAGTCCGGCTGCGCCTTGAAATAGAATTGGCTCAACTTTGTGAACCCATACAAGGGATCTTTTTCTGCGGATCCCCATCGGCCAGAGAAGAACCAACCTTCGGGGCCCAGCTCGGGGTCCAGAACGACGAGCTGGATGATGTCCTCTAGGCCCTTGAGAAATCGAACCAGGTTGGTCCGGTGCGCCCACGGACATCCGTAGTTCAAGTATAGAACATAACGATCCCTTTCAGCAGGGAACTCTGCATCAGGATTCGATGATACAGTCGAGCGGAAGGCGGAATCCTTGCGTCGGAAGTGACCATCTGCATCAGCATGGCGATGCACTTGGGATTCCTGTCACAGCTTAGCTATCCCGTGTTCTAGAAACACTCATCAAAGACGATCTATACCTGTTCCGCCATATTGCTAACAATCGAATCAGATCAAAGCCGACAAGGTAATGGATATGTCAAGTCGCACCAGAAGATGAGCGCACTGCTTACAGTATCACCGTCCGAACTGTCAGTCAGCTTTTGTTTATGCACATCCTGAGGTCTGGGCGCTGACAAATCGCCACGATGATGACATCTTATGATGCGGGGCAGAGCTTGGAAAAATAAACCGAAGACTGAGCTATCGTCATTCCTAAAGCAAGCGCGTAGGGGGATATGCTAATGCCTGGATATAATGACAGGAAAGACTGCATCAGTAGAAAGGATGCTCGGGACAGTTTTTCAGGTGGTGCAGATGACATTGCAGGACCTTGTGCTCGACAAATGGCGTGCAAAACCAGCGCCTGGACACATATTCCACCCCCAAGAATTCAATCCTACAGCCTCGTTTCCTTCAGAACACCAAGTTGCTCAGCCACTCCAATCAGGCCGCTGTAGCCATGCTCGAGCCACAGGTCGACAAAACCCTCCTGTTTGGCTTCGGCAATCTGTTCAGAGGTGAAGGTTTCCTCCTGGGGCCGTTCGACGTAGATCGTCATGAAGCCTGCTTTCTTTGCCGCTTTGAGATCGTACAAATGTGCTGCTACCATACCACACTCACTGGGATCCAAGCCGAACCGCTTGGCTGCTCCATGATACGCTTGGAGGGCGGGCTTATAGGCTCCGAAGTGCTCAGCGCTGGCCACGTTCATAAAGGGCAATGACCCATGTCTCAAAAGATCTTCCAGAAGGGACACATTGCCGTTCGACAACGTACAAGTCTGGAAGCGACGGTTCAACAGCCTGAGGCCTTCGACCGAGTCTGACCAAGGCTCGAGGCGATGCCAACAGAGTGCAAGGTCCCACCGCTCTTCATCAGAGAAAATGTCGTGGAGACCGTACTGGTGGAGCAACTGCTGGATGGAACTATAATGATGTTCATCGACCGATACGAACGTCGATGATGGCTGAAAGTTTTTCGTAAACCGTCCATAGGACGCGCGCCATTCTTCCGCAATGGCCTGCCAGTCCTCAGGGGTCATGGACTGTACCCGCGCGCGGACGTCCGCTGGAAGCTGCTTTCCAGGATCGAGCAGAGCATGCTCAGCCGCTTTCATCAGGGCCCGAGTAACGCAGGAGCGCCATTCCACGACAGTGCCGAAGATGTCAAAGAATAGTACCTTTGGAAGTGGGCTGATCGACATGATGGGATGTATGATTTGACTCGTGTGGCGTACCTATCTAGCTGATGCAAGGTTCGGGTGTCACTGTCCGTGTTCCGTATTGCACAACGCCGCTGAAGGTGCCTGTCTGTCGGGACGTAATTTTAGAGCTTTGAATCTTGGCTAATGTGTGTACGGGGTACGGAGCAGATGCGTTCTATAGCGGTACTTCGCGGGTCTGTAAGATATGCACGCTGCGGTGTAGCAGAGAGGATGTCCGAAGGCGCCGACCGAGCTAAAAGCATCAACAACACTCCCTACTGATAATTCCACGGCTCTAGTCGTTTGCCTAACCTATCTAGATATATGAATCCCAGAATCCTTGGGGAAAGAAAGAGAAGAATTCAGCGACGATGAAGTCATGAGGGGAAAGAATGGCGAAGGCGAAGAAAGTGTGCTCCGGCAGAAACATCAGCCAAGAGTTCTGGCGATGCAAAGCATGCAAAACGATCGACTCTGTCTCTCTCCCATAGACCCTCCCCCTCCTTTCTCAGCTCTCTAACCCCCTCCTCTCTGTCCCGCATTCGAAAAGTAACGAGACTCTCATTACTTTCACTTGCCGTCCAGAGTTCGGATTAGACTCCCGGCTGGCTGATCTAACACGATTGTACAGAGACGGGAGAGGCAAAGAAAGTATCAAATGAGATTCCCCCCAACCCCACAAGCTGCGGTGATCCCTGGATCTATCACATTATCACCATCCATCGCTGCTTCAGGTTAATAGACAGGAAACTACGGGGTTACGTCTCACTGGAGGTCCGCGCATCGCTGGCCCTGCATTGAACGTTCACCGTTGGCTGACCAGGGTATCTTTTAGTTATCCTTTCCTGGATAAGTTAATGACAGCTGCAGCCCGATGATCCTTCAAACGGCGTGATCTTGGTCTGTCTAGGACCGGAATGCGACTCTCATCGGCTGTGCCAAGGAGGCCTCTTTGGTCTCCTAGTCTAGCCAGGAAGACACTATCTATGTGATCGCCTCTTTCGAAATGCGTTGTTAGTACTATGATAGTTGATCCTGGTGCTCTCTGGAGCGACGCGACAACATCCGAGACACCAGCCGGACCAGTCCAGACCAACCGCGGATGTTCTCCGGCGAGAGCCACTACTGGATATTAGGAGATTAACACCAGTATTATAGTTATTATTGTATACAACGATTTAATATGGACTGTCTAAGTATGATCCCTGTCTACTTCACACTGCAGCCTGCACAGCCGTTCAGGTAACGCACGGCCGACCTGTCAGGTCCGGTTTACCCCTGAGATGAAGGCCGGAAGGCGCAAATTCCAGTCCGTCTTGCCGCGTGGGTCGCCAAGCTTGAAGCCGGCGCAGACTACAGCCGATTAGACTGCAAGCCAATTGGCTTTGGTACGTAACTGCTCACGTTCTCTTAATTGAGCCAGGGACGAATGTCGGATGCTGATTTGACTGAACAATACCGGATTGATAACTAGATAGATACTAGCTGGCAACAAGTCCTTTTTGCTCCATTCGTTTACGATCTAACGCACATCATCGCCTTGCGTCACACGGACCGCGCGCGAAAGGTGATCGCAGACGGCAAACATCGATGGTCGCCAAGCCATTAAATGAATTCGATATGAATACATATCCACCCCAGAGGTCCGTGATGATTTGGTGACAGGAAAGGCGAGTTTACTATAGATCCCGTCCGTTGACGCAGAAGTGATCACGAGGAGACCTTTTCCCTCGCAGGCTGCCAACAGCAAGGAAGTCTGCAAAGGGTCATTCAGTCTCCCCGCCTCCCTGGTATGTAATTTCCGGACTGGAGACACTACCCAAAAGTTGAGCGCCGGGCCGTCTCCCAAGGTGGTCCTGAACCAGGGAACAGGGGAAATGATAAGTGGGGAGCTAAGCTGAACGGAAGCACCCAAGGATCCTTCCCGACTGTTCCTCTCGTGCACCCCTTCTGGTTTGTATTGGGCTCGGGAATCAACGAGCACAGGTAGTACTGTATGGAGTACAAAGCGCGGAAATTAAACGCCTCCCATGTGATTGTATGTCAGATGCTGTACTAGGTGCCCTTGACAACTGAACCACCAACTTCCGGGACGACCAACTTGATGACGGAACTCCGAGTCTACTCCGGGTCTGAAAGCAGATCGGGGGTAACAAGCGCTCCATCAGGACGTGACCGGGATGGTTTTCCTAAATATAAGTTGCGCAGCTTTTTCTGGGGCTGGTGAATGGATTCTGAAACATGGAGCACGGGCTTGTTGGAAAATCCATTGGTGGCTTTGAACAAGATGTTCTGAAGCCTCCCGCTCGCCATTCAATCATACGATTGGGGAGATGCAAACTTTCTTCGACGGCTAGTACATCCATCGTCGCGTCGGCTGGAGTCAGTCCCTGCAGGCTGGCCTTCACTTATCCCAGTGACTATTCAACATCCACTATCAAGACGCTCGCCCGGTATGACCGATAAATGGCAACGAGGCTACCAATATATCTTGGCCATCGGAGAGAAGTCATAATTAAGGCAATCTCACCAACCAGCAGGCGCAGAATCGAAATCGAGGAGAGGCGACGATCCCATTGAGTCCACCGGTGGACCCGACTAGTGACTGACACGAACTGCCGTCAAGTTCAAGTACTACGGTATCTAACGACCTTCGCCCGGCAGTCTTTGTGCCGGCCGTGTTTTTTTGGTCGACTTCGGTCGCGTTTTAGTCCACCTTAGCCTGGTCTTGTGGTTTTTTGCTTTTTCATTCAATTGGCTTATCTTTCTATTAATGCCAGTTTTATTTTTGTTGAATTATTTTTCTTTTTTCCATTTTTCCCTTCCTACTTCGTGCTGGGATTCCCTTGCCCCCTCCCATCGGATACACTTTCATCGGATTTGCACAAGAAAGTACAAAGTACACAGGGACGATCTTCAGCTTACCGTCCTCCTTTTGATTATATTGATTAGTTTTATTATAATTTTTTTTTCTTTGCCCCCCTCGCTTTTGCTTTCGCGTTTGCCATCCCCTGTTCCCGCGGTGTGCTAGGATCAATGCATGTCGCCTTGTTTCAGATTCGACTCGAGTCCCTTTTCCTTCTGTACTCCGTAGACAGGTATCACTGCCTCTTGTTATTTTTATTACACATTATTATTTCCTGCTCGGCTGCTTTCTTCCATTGGCTATGCTTTTCCACCGACGAGGGTTTGGCTGTTACCAGTCCGCCGGTCACCAGCCATTCATCTGCAATGGCGGCGGCCGATCCGTCGCACTGTCGGACACATCCTCTATCACTTGCCTATTGGATCGGGATCCTCGAGCCCAGCTGTGGCAAGCTCTAGTGGAGCCGCTCGGTGGTTTCTCTTCTCACTAGTCATTGGGTGCGTGGAGTTGGCCTTCGGTTCCCCATCTTCCCCCTAACGAACACCCCTGGACGAAGCTAATGCGCTAGTTTGCTCTGGTTCTGGCAGACAATAACTCCGCTGTCGAATGGGCCTACCTTTATCACTCATTTACTGGGCTAGCTGTCCCCCGCCCGATGTATGGGTCATGGACAAGGTTCTTTCGTGCAAGGCCCAGTTTAGCTCTTGAGCCGGTGTACTCCAAATCACTAGAGGGTGGCCTGGCAAACAATCTCCCCTTTCCCCTCAGATCCTTTGTCTAGACTTCCGCGCCTCTGGCAGGTAATAAAACTAAATATTTTGGGATCCGATTTCGCGACGCTGCTGCTTTCTTGATCGCCCTCCGATCCTGTTTCCCTCCATACATCCTGCCCCCCCTCCTCCCCATCCCCGCGTCAAGAGAGAGACCTTGACTCAGTTCATACTTTGCTCCCCCTCACTGGCCTCTCTTCCCTAGCACACTCATTCGCATTGACTCGCCTGCAGCCTGTGCATTGTGAAGGTGGCAAGCCTTGAACTCTGATTCGATCGCAGGTAAGTACCATCCTTGTTTCTGCATGCCTTATCTGGTCTCCAGCCCTACTTCCAACCGCGTCCCTTGGCGCTCGAAGCAGACACCATGTGCTGATCAGGTCTACCCTTTTGCGCCAGAAAGACTAGTAGCCACGACGCTTCAATATCTTTTGACGGGCGAACGGCTGGCACATTCAGACCTCGGCCAGTCGAGCTGGTCCTTGCTGGGGACGTCGAGGATCACAGCATATGTAAAGCTCATGGAAAACGCATGACGCGGTACTACAATCTTTGGTTGCTCAGTTGCAATTGAGGCGATGCGTTGAGCTGTCGAAACATCCACCGACCTTGGGCATACACACACAATGGCCACTGAGACCGTCTACTCAAGCCCTGCGGCGAGGGCCTTCCCGACGCCGTCTGCAACACCGCAAAGACCTCCTTCGATACACATTCGGGCAGATTCCTCCCCCGGCCTGTCGTCTTCGCCTAATTCCCTACCGATCCTGAATTTCTCGCCCGATGCCCGCAGTGACTATGAGGATACTGCTGACGAGGACAACTTGTCGCCACTAGATCCGCGGCGCTTCACACCTACACTACATGCCTCACTTGTTTCCGAAATTCTTTCTCTGCGGCGAGACGTGGAGGGTAAAGCAAAGGCAATTGATATACTCGAACGGACTCTAGACGAATCACGAACGGAGAACGAAGGTCTCACTGAACGTCTATCCAAGAGCACTAAGGAGTCTCGTTCGCTCAAGCATCAATTGCAGCTGCTGGAAGGTGGATCTTCGTCCGCCCTCACTGAGCTAGCACGAGAGCGTGATGAAGCCCTAGAAAACATTACAGATGTCCGTAAGAAGCTAGAACAAGCCCAGAAGAAAGCACGAAGCCGTGAAGAGGAGGTGGAGAGAACGGCACAGCTTTGGAACCGAGATAAAGATGCTTGGGAAGGCGAACGGAGAAACTTGGAACGAAAAGTGCATGTGGTGGAAGGGCGCCTGAAGGTCGTGTTGAGTGAGGTAGCCGCTGCTCAAGCAGCTGGCTCATTCCACTCAGCCCAGAATTCCGATGACTTTGAGCGTGATCGGACCGCAACATTGGTAGAAGTCGGGAAAGACAGCGACTCTGCAAGTGTTGACTCAAGAAGCAGTCAAGGGCATCGTCGGACCAGTGTCACAAGTGTGAGTGCTGACAGCGTCGATGAGACTGACTATCACAACGTGCGGTACTCCGTCGCGAGTGTAGCCACCGCCCATGGTCTTAAGAGCGAGGGGCTGAGCTTGGCTCAAGAGTTGGCATTTGACGAGGAAGACGAGTTCGAGTCCTTTGAACCCGATTTTGTACCAGAGTCGCCCGAGGCACTTCCAGAAGAACGGCCGGCTTCCGTTCACTCGCAGTTTTCTTGCACAATGGGCATGGGTGCCAAGGCGAGGAAAATCCTCGGTCTTTCTCTG